GGTCCAGGTGAGGTTGAACTGGGTGTTGATGAGATCGCTGACGCCCATCGTTCGCGAAGTGCCATAGACCGACTTGGGCGCGATGAATCCTGGCAGGAGTGGAGGGTACGTGATGTCCTCGATCTTGGGCGCTGGGATCCCCTCGCGCGCGCCCACCAGGAAGGGATTGTCGCGGATCCAGCGCCGGGAGAGGCCCGAGTCGAGCGATGGATCGATGCTCTCGCCGCCGACGTTGAGGCGATACATTGTCTGGAGCGCTGCTCGAGCCATCCCCAGGAAGGCCTGGGTGCCCTGCCCGACGAGCTGCCCATCGTCCTGGATCGCGGCGTCGGGGATGGACACGATCTCGATCGCGTTGACGAAGGCCAGGGAGCCCGGCGACGGGACGAGCGAGATCGTGAGCTGTGCGGTGGTGATGTTGATCGAGTACTCCTTGAGGAGCGCCGGGGAGGAGATGGATCGCGCCTGGGCTTGGATCTCGCCCGCCACGCTCTGGCTGGAGAGGAGGAGGTACTCGTCCGCGCTGACGGAGAAGAGGGCGGCGGCGAGATCTGGCGAGAAGGGGAGGAAGTGGAGGCGAATCCAGTGGCGTCCCGGGGTGAGATCGCCGATGGAGAAGGAGCCCTTGGGGGTAAAGACGCGGGCGGTGCTGTAGAGGCGCTGCTCGTCGGCGGAGGAGAGATTGGCGGCGCTGCTGGTGGGGATGGAGCCGGATCGAGGAGCTCCGCCCTGGGCGAAGCTGGAATCCGCCACGAATGTCCTGCCGCTCACGTTGGTGCTGCCCGCAGCGCCACACGCGAGAAGGATGTTGTCCTTGGGGACGAATTGGGCGTGGGCTGTGCTCGTCAGCCATAGCCAGAGCTCCACAAGCCCTACTGCTACCCACAATGCCCGCATTCTCGCCCTAGTGCTGCTACCACTCCTGCTACTTGCCATTTCTATCGCCATTGCGTGTTCTTGCCGTTCCTTCTCGAGATCACGTCGCTCCCATTTGTTCTTCGATCTCCAAAGCTACGCGCTAACTACAAATGAAAGCACTGGAATCCAGCGGCGGCAACCGTGCCATGTGGGTCCCCTACATAGAGGCGGTCCGAACGATCGAGATTCTGCCATGTGGCAAAACCGGCGGAGGATTTTTTAGCGGCGCATCGTGCTGATGCTCGTGGCCTGGCTGGAAAACCGTGGGAAACGAATGAGTATGGGTGGAATTCATCAAAGTTATTTGACTGCAAACCCTTGGAACTATTTACAGGATACCAATAACATTCAACAGTCCAGTAGAAAGCCAAGATAGATAGAATTTTATGATCACTGCTACATTATGAAAATCAGTGAGAACACCGGTATGATTTGTTAGTGTTCCTTTGCTGTTACTTGCATTGTGACCACCATGAGACACCTTGGGATCGCTGCCAAACCAATACAGGGAAGCGATCGCCTCCTTCCCAGAAGATCAGCAAACAGAACTTCTACCTCCCCATTCTTGTCCCCATATAAGGCAATGGGGAGAAAATTCAAAGTTATTTGACTGTCAATGCATCAGAACACTAGTGTTGCCAAGTCAATGCTAAATATGTGAATATAACAGTTACAAATGAATAAACCTATAAAGGATTAAGCCCAAATAGATTTATAAAATCTGCACTGTTGGGAGTTAAAGCTAATTAAACTTCCTACACAAATATATAAATTTTCTTTAACATATATAAGTACAAGTCTCTTGTTTATCGTGTTATTTTATAAGTCTGTTATTGGAAAAAATGATAAAGTGTTTAGCTATGATAAACTAAATAAATTTCATGACATGATGATACCACATTTGTCATGCTTGTGCAATGCTTACACTAAGCACTTTAGTAAATGATTAGATAGTTTATTTCTATAACATGTTTAAAAACTGTAAAAATAATTACTTTATGGATATTTTATATTAATAAAAAATGGTTTTGAATCAAAATAAATACTAACATACTTCAAAGTACTAATGACCACTTCAATTGTGAGTTAAATGTGTTAAATGATAAGTTTGTTAGAGCTCATAACAAATCATTGATGTCAAATGACTAAAAACGTTATATGACTTTGTGGATAGGGACATCTAAAAAATGTAGAGAAGAGGATTGCAAAACACTACACTTTAAAAATAAAACTATGACATATACGTTTAGTTATTTATATATATATTTTATCAATATAACATTAAAATTTAAATGTCTATTTATATTATTATTTATTACATTGAAAGCTTTTATGTTTGAAAAAAT